ACTTTGTAGAAAGAATCCTATGGTCTGATAGCCTGAGAAAAAACAACCGACATTTTGCGATGCCTCTACTAATTTCGCCGCGAAACGAGCGCAGAAATTTTATACTGATGACGCGTCACTACCCAGACCTAAGTAGTGTTACGTGTCATCAGAATAAAATTTCTGCGCTCGTTTGTCAGACGCCATTTTGCGGGGAAACCAGTGGTGTTGTCGTAAAATGTCGGCTGCTTACTCAGGTTAATGGTGTGATCGTTCAAATCAAAGCTACATCAGCAGTACTTTTGCATGGTACCACTTTCTCAGTATTTTGATTTCAATAGTTTTATCGATGGTGTTAATAGAGAGCTTTAGATTCTGAGACGAGGACGACTACGATTACCAGATTTTCTCAATACTTAGTAGTGCGCACGCGTGAACCAGTGTCATTTTGGCGGAAAAACGTTATAGCCGTCGTCATTCAACAACGGGTTTATGCGAGAATGTCGTAGTGGCAGAAATAGATTATAACATGTAAGAAGTTTCATCATTGTGCTATCTTTCAGTGTAAACAACCGTATTAACTTTTGTGGTAAAAAATAGTAAAATTAAGCTTTCCAGGGTGTCTTTTTTTAGAACACGTGCATAAGTTTGAAGTTAAGTCTCGTATTCATACTTTTTCTCGTCCTCTAATCTAAAGTTCTCTATCCTTGAAACTTGATTCTTTTATTTTAGCAACACTATCAGGACTTGTTCCCACCCAAATCACCCCTGCCCACGGAAACGCTGGCTCAAGCCTGCCTTGGTCTTCTACTGATTGAACGACAAGAGCAGGAAAAACGTTCTGCAGCGTCCACTGGTAAAAAATAATCATGAAATAATCATGACTACTTTCTCTTCAAATATTGTACTATGACGTCACATACTTTGCAATGTTGCCCTCTCTGAGACTGGCGGGAAACAGTGTCATTATGAGAAGTCATATGACCTTGAAGTAGCCAATCAGAGTGAGCGCTGTTAAGAAACAATCCCAGCATTACAAGAACATCTAATGGTTAAATATACTAAATCATTTTTTTAACACCAGGCTTGGCAGAAAAGTAATCTGTTCATTCGAAAGTAACAAAAATCTGGGTTTTTATTTTTGGATAGTTGATTTTTTTAGATTTTTTGATAAAACCCATTGCTCTCACTGCCGTCGACAGTGTTGCAAGTAAAACATCATAATCTTTATTCCGCTTTACCGGTTGCGTGTACACAAAAATCTTCCATCGTATATGTTGACCTTCAATAAATAAGGCAATTAAATGCGGGTAGCTAAGTTTTAGTGTGTTGATAAGATTTTTTATCTTTTTTAGACCCTTTCTCAGTGTGGAATTCTAACGTTAGCTTCAGACTGAACAATGTTGCCAAGAGAAGAATAAGACTTGATGATGGCGACAAAAGTAAGAAGATTGCCGCTTGTAGTTTCTGGGGTGCAGGGAGGAATTTGCTTTACTGATTGTGTCGCTGACTGAGTTAGAAACAGATGCACTGTAAGTGCTGGCTCGTGCCCAGACGTCTCTCGATGAAAATTTGCGTGCAAATGAAGGTGGAAAGGAGAACGCTTCGCCTTTTATTTTTCTCCTTCTCGTGGTCCCTTGCGCTACGTCTCTTGTCACTCGCGTGTCACACGCGTTTCGCCCCAGCCTCTGTGCGAAAACGAAGTGCCTGAAGAGGAGACAGCTGTAAGTACATGTCGCGAGAGACTAAAGCGTCCTTGGCGATGGGTCCCTTTCACTGCCGACGGGCTGGCTGGTTGCCTGACCAGCTTGTTGACGTCTTGAGTTCTGATTTCCTGTCTGACTGACTGATTGATGTACCGGTCGACTTGGTAACTGACGAACTTATTGACTGACTGATCGATTAACTGTTTGGGAGTGACTGTAAGACGGATTGGCTGCTCGACCGCCTGACTGACGGACTGACTGACCAACCCACTAGTAACTTTCCTGTTTTATTTTCGCAGAGGTATACATCATTGTATCTTACAACAAGGATGGAAGTTATACACTAGAGGTGAGTATAGGTGGATTTATTTTCCCTGTCGCGCACGTAACCTTTTGCTTAAATAAAATAGAGGCAATGTATGAAGTGCGCGTTAACGTAAAAGTTAAGCGAAGTTTTAAATCTTTTAAGTTTACGCTCGACTGTTTATACATTGCCTCTATTGCATTTACTCGCGTAAAATTTACGGACGGGCCACAATTAACGCTGTGATGTCTTTCATTTCCAAACTGAACTTTCTTGCGCAGATTGAGGGTGAGCGCTTAGACGTGAAGGGAAAACTTGAATCAGACGACTCCAGAACTTGCCTCACAGCGAACATAAATGGGAACGTCTTTAAATCCTGGCTCGTTGATCAAGAAGGAACCATTCATTTATTCACCAAGGTAATCTTCGTTTATATAGAGTCCTTATAGTTGGACCATACGCTGAAAATAGTTTCTTTACTTTGGTTAAGCACTTGCGCAATCTTAAAAAACGCCAGAATTTGTTGTATTGCAGAGAGTGCCGTAGTTAGCCAGTCAAAAGCAAAAGGTTGACAAACCCCGACTTTGCTTTTCCACTTCCCTTTCGCTTGTCACAGGTTTCAATTTCTGTCGTGCAACACATTTGCTCGTGCGTATGGAAGTTGTATTTTAAACCAACCTTGCTGTTGCCACAAATACTTCTATGCAAGAGTATTTTTACTTCAGCTCCTAGAATACTAAATTAAGACATCCTCTTTGCCATCCAAGTGCCTAAAAAATGCAACAGTTTCATTGGTTAAACATCCCAGAGGGAATGTCCAGAATCTCTTACGTTTACGGTTAGTGTTCATCATCGGTTTCCCGTCATTTTTACCCTCGTCTTACCCAGTATCCGCGGGTGTGCTGCGGGTCTTACGCGCATGACAACTTACAGCTAAAACGCCCTATATTCGTACATGAAACAGAAATCAAGATTAAGCTCCCTCCATCTGGTTACCCAGTGCTCCTGCGCGGCTTGGCTCTATCTAACCTCCGATTAAAACCTGCAACAAACGTGAGGTTTCTAACACTGACATTAGAGAGTTTTAGATCCGAGTTTACCGCGAAACTCTAACCGCGGTTCGCGGTTACCCGTTTGCGGTTCGACGTTCAAACATAATTCGATTTAGATTGGCGGTGGATTAAAGAAGTGGATTCTGGTCTATTTTTCCATTTAGAAATAGAAGAAATATCAATCAATGAAAAATAAAAGAACTTTTCGGTAACACTAGGTTATCTAGCAGCAAAGAGCTGTAAATTCTGACATTAGTTCTTCTTGCAAATTTACGGCCGCCATTTTGAATCAGCAGCGATGAATGGCACTTGTTTTCAAGATCCAATAGGATTTATCAAATTTAGCATTTCGCCCGAATTTGTGCCTCTGTTAATGGATAAAGACTTGCTCCACAAGATTTTTGTATCATTACGTGGGATAAAACAAGAATTATACGCTAAAAGCTTTCAGGTAAATGACATACGTGAAAACCTACCTCCCCACGTTGAAAACGCACGTCGTAAACCTCAAACGTGACGCGAAAGACTTGTCACGTGACCTCCAGCGGTTAGAGGTTCGCGGTAAACTCGGATCTAAAACTCTCAATTATTATTCCTCACACAGGATGGTTGTCATAAAGTATGTCGCCCGATTCCCAAGTTCCTTCGGGGTGGCCCCTCAGTCGCTTCCCAAGGATCAGCAGTGGCACCAATGACGGGCACAATCGTCAAGGTAGGGATACTGTGGCTTGCCACTGGGTAAGTAGGCCTCTTGCACCAGTAAAAACATCGGAATATTTCCGATTTTTATTATACAATCAGTAGCCGAAGTTAGGGTTTAAGACGCCAGAGCTCTCCTGAACGTAGATGGGTCGACTATTATTGCCAAATGGTGCTGAAAAGTTGGATTGAACGTGGGTAGCCTGCATAACAGGCGTTATTTTTTCGCGTTTTTCAGGCTTACAAAAGCAAGCGCCAGACACGCGCGACGGAGGAAAGCGCGTGTCTGACGCTACCCGCTCGCTTCGCGCTTACCCTCGCTCGCCGGAAAAATGCGTGAAAATAACGCCTGTTATGCAGGCTAGAACATGGGTGAAATTTGTACCTGCACTAAGCTACTGTAAGGAATTTGTCTCGTTGCTTAGTAACCTTATCAACAAACTGCAGTCAAGTATATTTTTCTGTGGAAGTTCTTAAAAGTAGTCTGGTGAAAAATTTTCTGATAACCTTTATTTTTTTGCTCAGGTGCTTGTAGAGCCTGGACAGAAAGTTGAAGAAGGTGAAACGCTTATTATCATGGAAGCAATGAAAATGGAGGTAGGTTGCTGAGGTTTAAAGTTGTGATTTTTATTCAGTGTTTGCTTTCACGTCAGTGATATTAGCATGTTAGTCCACCTATTTTTCAGACTTCACTGTTTACAGTAATCCGTGGTTGTTGCTTTTTTCTTAAAACACGTGTTAGATAAACTATCACTTGTAAAGCCAGGTCTAGTTTGGGCATACAAAACGTTACGACTTTTAAATGGCTTACGGAAAATCTTGAATACCGAGGCGTTTCCCCAGGACTTCGCGGTCGTCCCTGTCGGTTAGATAGTGCCGCCCCGGAGGGGTACTCGATATATCCCTGGGTGGGGAGGTACGGCGCGGCCCATCATACCCTGACCCTGTTTAAGACAAATATCGCTGATTTTCCTACCCTGTTTAAGACAGAATTCCGATTTTTGATACCCTGTTTAAGACATTTATCCTGTTTAAGACCAAAATTGATAAATCGATACCCTGATTAAGACAAAAAATGACAAATTCGATACCCTGTTTAAGACAAAAATCCCGAAAAACATACCCTAGCCGCACGTCCCCTTTAAGCCCGAAGTAACGGTTAACGGTTCGTACTTTTCCAAACACACCTTAACTTCAGCTGTGTGTGTACTTACAAAATTCGGTAAAGCGCGCGGATGAGTCTACGTCCTATGGTTTACAAGCTTAAATCCCATCAGGGTAATAGGCTCCTGATCCCATCAAATACCGAGAGTTGAAAGTTTGCACGAGAATTATGATTCAGATCATTATACGTTTCCGGAAAACTGCCCACCTACCCCTCCCCTAAGCCAACATTAACACTTACTTCTCACTTAGGGCAAAATGTTTGCTTAGAAGAGGGGTAGGTAGGCGGTTTCCCAGAAACGTGTAATGATTGTTTGGTTTAGGGGAGGGGTAGGTGGGCAGTTTCCCAGATACCCAAACTGATCCCAAGTTGTTACCTTTAGCATGTTATTCGAGCACCTAAAGACGGGGTGATAGGACAAGTTTTGTATTCTGAAGGACAGGCGGTAAACAGACATGCGCAGCTCCTTCACTTCCAGGAGGCAGGGCAAGATCAGGGATCTGGAGACGACGACGAGCAGGAACCTGAGGCGGAGTGAAAATACAGTGATCAGGAGTAGACTGGGAACAGGAAGGATTCGCAAGACTGGGATGATGGCCATATTTATCATTAATCATGTGACAGGAGGGATTATATTCAGAAAATCTAAACCAAAAAAGCCGACTACCCATTGCGTACTTTATCACTTCAACGTTCTTGCGTTTCTCTATCCGTAAAGAATTTGCTGTTCAACTATACGTGAGTCAGAGTCAAGGACAGTTTAGAAATTCAATGTCAAAGCTCAAGTTATGCGAATATAATCAAAATTATTTGTTGGAGATATCAGCTCCCTTCTAGTTTGACCACGGTAACCAAGAACCAAGAAACCAAGAACGAATTCAAATTACATTCGTTTGAACCAATCAGCATCGGTCAAACGAACGTGGTTGCAATTCATTGTTTGCTTCTTTTGATCTGATTGGCTACTAATATTGAAGTTGCCTTGGTTACTACACTGTATATATTATCTCTCTTTCAATGTTAGTGTGTGCAGGTCTTCCTGCAATTGAGAGAAGTCGTTGGGTCACGTTGCCATGGTAGCAAAATTTCTGGATTTCAACAAACCGTGGTCCTGCAAATTTTGGAAGGAAAAAAAATACTTGACATGTATGACTTTCCTGCATGATTGCACTCAGGAACAAAAGAGTAGCCCAAACTTTTCTTCCATTGTTCGACAATTAAAACTGCCGTCTCTGTCAAGAAAGGTTGTTGAGATCCAGAAATTTTGCTTCCATGGTAACATGACGTTACCTTTCTCTTTTAATTTCTCTTGGTAAGACTGTAATACCCAGGAGAAATTGGAAACAATGGTTATGCAAAATTTTGGGGGTATACACGGGGCATTATGGTCTATGTGAAAATGGTGAATGGGCCAAAATGTAGTTAACTTGATCTGCAGGCTATTTGTAGTTCGATTACACTTATTTAACAGTTATTCACGAATCAATTCTTCAGTGACTAAGGGAAACAAGTTTCCTGAAAAAGTGACACTTAATATAATGCTAATAATTTTATTAGTCATTAAAACGTAAGTTGAGCTTGCTTCAAGTTTTAAAAATATTATCTTTAAATCACTTGGACTCAAATTTTGTGACCGATTCAACCGCCAAAATTCTTGGAGAAACCCACAATAAAATGAAACAGCCATACAATTATTGATATATCCTTGGCAAAACCAGCAAATGAACAATGCTTTAATATTGGTGAGCTGCTGCCAGGAAAGGCCAAACAAACATACGAAAAGCACGTGAATACACTGTACGTGTGTGCTGCACGTGCAACTATGAAGTTTGCACGTGAGATTGCAGGGTGTTTATGAAGAAAAACAACGGCAAACCGAGGTGGGAAATGTCGCATGCAAGAGCCAAAACGCCATTTATAGAACACGTTTCACGGATCCCAGCTAAAGGGGTATTAGAAAGAGATGGCTTTACGCAAGAACAAGGCGGTAAATAGCGGTTAAACGTCTCTTCAAATTGATATGAACCAACATCTGGCCTCACTCATAAATTAGCTTTCACCAATAAGTAGATAATTTTTTTAATCCTTCTGTACAATTTTCTGCCTGAGCAGTAGTGAATTCCGCGAAATGGTTCCTCGCGGCAGAGTTCTAAGCTGTCTGCTCCTCGTCTTTGGATTCTACAGTCTTGTTTTTAACCGTATTCGCTTCAGGAGGCTTTTCATCGGCCGCAGGTTCACTCGGTTTCTCATCTTTACTCTTCGAATCTCCTCCACTAAATCTCCCTTTCTCTTCTTTCCTTTCTTCCTTCCCATCCACTTCTCTTTGCACCTCTTCCGCGCTTTTTTCGTTGTCTTTCGTCGTCGCCTCGGATTGGACCTGGGATCGGTCTCTCCAATTCGCTGACAAGCTCCCGCTGCTCGGTCGTAACTGGTTGTTACTGTTTCCTCGGGGCCTGTTACCGGGTTGAGTTTGTTGCTTTTGCTGTTGATTTTTACTCCCGGAACGCTGCCTCTGTTCCTGTTTACTGTGCTGTTTATTTCCGTTACCATGACTTGCTCTCGAATCGTTATGCTCGCTGTTTTTGCGGTTTTCTTGGTTCTTCTTCTCGTCCTTTCCTTCACTGTCTGTTCTACGGTTTCCAAGCCACGGAGATGTTTTCTTTGCTCTAGAGTCTCTTGGCGGCGAAGAAGCTGGTGAAAAAAGCAAACAAACCATAAAAGTCGATCTTTAACTAACGGCCGTAATACTAAAACCAAGTCTTAGAACAATAGCCAATGACAACAGATCCACAACACAACAAACCAATCAAAACTCGATGCCAAAACTTGCGGCCGGCAAAGGCGGGGGAAAACGTGGGCGACCGAGTCACAATTTATCTGGATTTACTTCTGATTGGCCGAAAAAGTTGCGAGAGATTTTTTAACCAGTCTTAGAGCGGAGCAATGGAAAACAAACCAATCTATGCTTCATCCGGATATTACCAAAAAACGAACGTATGGAGGACTTTTCACATTCTAGCAGTTTCACTTTCTCTTGGGACAAAACTTATGCTTGTGGTGAAAAATTGCATTTTGGAGAACGAGAAGTCGTAGATTTCGGACCTGCACCATGGATATTTACTGGCTTCTACGCCTCTTCTACACTCTTACATGTTATGACTTCTTCTTTGTCGTTTTGGGCATTCGCACTCGTGACACGCTTACTCTTGCCTTGCTCACTCTCCTCAGATTCCTCCCGGATCCCTTTCAGTTCCGAGGTCGGCGTAGATGCTCGCCTACTCCCAGTGTTCTGTTGACGCAATAGACAAAGAAAGGTCAAAGAGACCACTTGTTGTGACATATTTCGGAGCTTAAGCAATAAAGACCGCAAAGGCTACGAAAACGTCTCGTTCAATTCGTCAAATGGTGGCAATTACTTTTCTGGAGTTGAATTCTAAAAGAGTGTATTGAAGTTCAGGAAAAGAAAAAGAAAGTCGCTGTTTTGTGTCCTCATCCCTAAAACGTGAAATTAGGTATTTTCACGTCGTAGTCGTTCAGTAACGACAAAGAAATGTACAAAAAGCGTGATGCTCGTGCAGAGTTTTTGTTTTGCAAAATTTAATCCTGGAAAGGAACCTCCGTTGTTATAACGGAAAATAACGTCTCAATTTCAATTCTTTTGTTAAAAGAGGACAGAAAATGACTTAAAAACCAGTTTGATGTGCACCGCACACACGATCTTTTTAATAACTCTTCATGTTTGTAGAGCAAATGTCTCTGAAACGCTTACCAAACTAGTCCTTGTAGACTGCTGTGAATTCGCTTTGTTCTCGGGAACTTCCGATTCACTGCTCGATCGTATTCGTATGCTCGGTTTCGTCTTCGGTCCATCCTTCGTGCTGACAAACATCCCCTCGCTCAAGTCGCCCGCGTAACTCTCCGTGGTCAGCGACCTGTCTCGCACACTCAACATATTGTCCTTGTCCTGGCCAATGAATGAAAGGCTAGGCCCAGGCCGCATCTCCGCTGGAGTGGGTAAGTAGGAGGGTCCCTGGGGCGGGTTGATTCCCATGCTACGAAGCTGTTGGTCCAGACTCTCCTTGTCCTTTTTCATCACCTCTACATCCTGTGTGGAAAAAAATTAACAAAATAAATCTTGCAAAAAATGGACATGGGATTTTCGCTCTCATGAGAGTGAAGAGTAAAAATGGTATTTACCCTAAGATGTGCCAGATGATAATCTAACATCATTCGGGCATTGACGATACACTCCTTCGTTCCAACAAATAGGAAAGACACTTCTTTCTAAAAACAAGAACAAAAATGATAAGACTCGCGCCCTTTCTAGTATATAAACGTTTATTAGCAAAATCATCTACAAAACCATAGCATTTCTCGCACGTTGTGAATGGCTGGTGAACCTTCGGTGCAGGAGCGGATCTAGGGGGAGGGTGCAGGGGTGCGCCCCCCCCCCTGAGATGACCTGCGGTGTTCTAATACAACCGGTATTCTGCCAAAAAAAAAACTATGTGGTTTATTGGTGTTGAAGTAGAGCAAGGGACGAGTGCACCCCCTCCTAAAAAAAATCCTGGATCCGCCCCTGCGGTGTAGTATTCTTTTGCGTTTTACCGCATATTTGACATTCTTTCTGCAATTTCCCATACTTTTACAAGCCTTGGCTTATATTACCCAAGTATACAGGGAAAGAAACATCAACTTGTGTAAGTTTTATTTCCATTGTCTGAAAGGCACTTCACTTCTCCCTGAGCAAGAAAACGAACGAAAATGAAAACGTAGGCTGACCTTTGAAGATTTCTCGTCAGCGGTCGATCTTTCTTCGGGAGGTTCAATCTTGACACGAGTGACGCCTGAACGATCTACTATGTCTTGGATTATACGACCACTCTTTCCGATTACTTTTCCTAATGAAAGAAACGATGTCATTTCCTGTTATTCCTAGGCATGTTACAGTTCCTAAAGTGTGACCATTCAAATGAAAGCTGACTGAGCAGTACTTTCCTGTGGTGCTGTTTATTAGTACAACTTTTGAGTCTTGGATGAAATTAAAGGACCATTCAAATGCAGAAGATACTTTCCTGTGGTGCTGTTTATAATGCTGTACAAGGTGGTTCTAACTTTTGAGTCTATGGATGAAATCCTAAAGTGTGACCATTCAAATGAAAGCTACTGAGCAGTACTTTCCTGTGGTACTGTTTATTATGCTGCAAAAGATAGTTTGACTCTGTGGATGAAATCCTAAAGTGTGACCACTCAAATGAAAACTCTTAGAGAGTAATTTTTTCACGGAGTAACTTTTCGTTGAATTACAATATGAAATTTGAGATCATCTTATCCAGTTTTGATATTTTGTCCTGCACGCGTTAACTTTGCATCCCACTTCTCTGACTGTTTGCTTTTTATTAGACTCACCTACAAGCGGTCTAGACACGTAAACAGTTTCCTCTGCAAATTCTAACAGTCTTCTCGCCTCTTTTACACTTTCTTCACTCTGAAAGACGGAATTAATTCAACAACTCTTAATTCACCATTTTTCCATAGACCATAATGCACCTTGTTTAACCCCCTCCCCCACCACCACCACCCCCGACCCCCAAATTTTGCATAACTGTTGTCTTCGATTTCTCTTGGGATGACCGTAAGTAATACCCAGGAGAAATTGGAAACAATGGTTATGCAAAGTTTTGGGGGGTAAGCAAAGTGCATTATGGTCAATGTGAAAACAGCGAGTTGACAGAGAACAGTGCACTGGAGGACTTTTGAATATGAGTTATAACGAGATAAGCAAAACAAACCCATTTGGGATAAAATGATGATCCTTATTAGAAAGAAAACTGGTAATTATTCTCACCCAAACAGTTCAAGTGTTCAAGGTATGTGCTCATAAATACCTTTAGCTGGTAGCATGATAATAATTATCACTTAACATAAAAATGTTTTACTATTTGGTCTCTGACCTGTTTAGTATTGTATTTATTGCATGGATGAACCTATAATAATTGATCAGGCAGATCAATGTTTGTCTGGAAGTACTGCCTTTGAGTAAAACAGCCAAAATTGATAATACTCACATCTCCACAAATGTGAAAAGTGCAGTTCTCTTCATCCACTTCAATGGAGATGATTCCAGGTAGTCGCCTAGCCTGTTGAATGTTGGCTCCCTGCGCACCAATAGCAAGGCCCATAAGATGATCTGGTAACGTCAGCATGTCGACCACACCCATCTGTTTTTTGGCAGTCTGTAATAAGTTGCACAATAATAAAATTTAAATGGGTAACATGTATGCTTAAGTTGTCACCCTCAAGACTTTCCATGCAAGTTGAGCCTGCACTACACTGCTGAGCCCACAGTCAGGCCAAGCCGTGTGTGTATTACAGTACATGTGCAGAGAGAATGAAGTTGATGCTACATTTATGGAACCTCTCACTTGTTTAGAGTTTGTTGCAGTTTCTTCAGTCATTGGTTTTGCTGTTCATTTTGTGAATTCAGAAACATAGGACATTTCCAAGTTACAGAAACTCACATTTTCAAAACAAGGCTAAGAGAAAAACCTTAATTCTTGTGAAAATGAGTTTAAATTGCACAAGAAGAAAAAATCATTTTCATATCAGTAGCTTCGCACTCAATCTAACTCTGAAACCAAGGCTTGGGGAAACTCCGAAACGGTCTGTTGCGATTTTACGAACAAAGCTCTGTTTTGGAATAACATAAATCCTCTATTAAGCTTCCTCTGTCCATAAAGCCCTCTCCTCCCCACCCCTAATTATTCTTCACTAATAAATGATGGACTGTATTGATGAATCACGACTGTTAAACTTCACGTGGACTGATCCAGGATGGTTTATTTACCAACTGAAAGTTTGGATTTGATTCTCATCCTTGGCTGCATGACCTCCAACCATCTTATACTTGAGCTAATCCACTTTGTATTCTAGGTCTTTATGGAGAACTGATACTGTCATCTTTTCTAAATTAAATAAGCTCCCCGGGGGGGCTTAATAGAGGATTTACGGTAGTAAACACAGTAACTAAAATAATCATCATACATGGATAAGAAGCTAAACTGACTAACTGTTATGTAAACTCAACTCTATTTTTACAGAATTGAGTCTCAGAAATGGGAATGGCCTCAGTGAAGGTCTCTACCATGTTAAAAGGCACCACCTCAGAGGTGCACTGACTGGAAAGGCTTTTATACCTGTAGTTGTCTTGCTGTCTCGTCAATCCACGACTGCAAGAGCATCTTTGTTCTGAGACTTCTAAAATGGATTTCGCTTAACATGGCTGCACATTTCACAGGACGTTCAGAGCGAGACTGCAAAAGATTACACAGTACCCTTCAATCTTACAGTAATCAATAGACCTTTGGGCTTCGATTACTCATCAATTACTCATTGATCATCACCAATAATCAATGACTAATCAACTGATCACTCATCGATTACTCATTGATTACCAATTGATGTCATTCATCAGTGATTAGTTATGTCTGGTATTCATTCATTCATTGTAAAATGCAGATACGTGTAACTTTATTCAAATTACACAGCTGATCAGATATCATAAATACTAAGGCCACAAGAATGCTGAATTGCTCACCAATGCAACAAGGACAGCTAGTTCGTCATGATAATACACACAAGATGCTCCCGTCTGTTTCTTGAACTCTCTGTGCACTGCTTCATCTTTACAGCTAAACACAAAAGGGAATAACTTTGAGGTCATAAATTCTTCAACCCCAGAATCAACTACAAGGGTACATAATTAAGTTTACAAAGACCTATGTCATTGTTTGTTATAATATTTCTAAATTTCAACAGTTATTTTACTTTCATAACACCATTAATGATATAAGTGACAGATCTTACAGTTGTCTTAAGTCTTGTGGAACATCAATCATCACTTTCTGGTACATATCCTTGGCGATTGGTCCACTGTTAGAAGACAAAAAAAATTCCCATGAACAGAAGAATCCTGAACTGGAATATTTAAACCAACTAAACAGAACTGAATTTTGACAGCTCCCATTAAACTCTGATATTTTCACATGGTTCTCAGGAGAGTGAAATCTCAGCTGAAAGAGAGTTTTAGAAATGAACCTCTAATTTTGACAAGTCTTTCGGCGTCACCCACGTGCGTTTTAACGTGGGGAGCTCTGATATTTTCTTGTTTCATCTGTAATGATACAAAAATCTTGTGGAGCAAGTCTTTATACATTAACAGAGGAAATCGAAATGCTAAATTTGATAAATCATTGGATCTTGAAAACAAGTGCCATTCATGGCTGCTGATTCAAAATGGCGGCCGTAAAATTGCAAGAAGAACTAATGTAAGAATTTACAGCTCTTTGCTGCTAGATAACCCAGTGTTGCCTTAAATTTCTTTTATTTTCACTGATTAATTTTTCTTCTATTTCTAAATGGAAAAATAAACCACTTGTTTTTATGTTTGAGGATAAAATTAGAGGTTCATGATAAACTCGGATCTAAAACTCTCTAATATTGGAGGGGTAACCAGGCATTTTTACGGATAATTAAGCAGAGATAATTTATCATATTTAAAAGGCTCTTTTATTAAAAGCCTCTGTGAAAAGTGTGTGGTGTCCTGCAAGGTTCTCTTGCACTCCAGCAGCCTGGGTATCACTAAGGATTTCTTTCCCTGACTGGGCATTGATATAGGCAATAAAACACTGTCATCTGCTTACTTGCAGCTACAGGGACGAATTCTCTCTCTGGGTACAATCTCATTAAATGTGGCATCCCATCCAGTATACTGTATCACATAAAACTAAAACAAGAGAAAATGCGCAAGCATGAGAACAGCAGTTACCACAAAAGGCACAAGTTTACCGAGGGGGTAAGCATATTTTATTTGGAACAAAACTATTTAAACCACTTTACCACGAAGAAAACTCAGTATCAAAATTGACACAAAAAAAGATAATCAGATAAACAAATAGATCTGATGGGAATAAAACAAGAAGGATTGCTCTGTTTACATAAGTTTTTTTTTTTTTTTTTTTTTTTTTGGGGGGGGGGGGGGGGGGGAATGCTTTGCATGTGTAGATAGAAAAATGTAGCCTGCCCAGGAAAGAAAACTACAACCCAAAGAAAAAGAAATGGCCATTACGTTTAAAAACAATAATTTTTACTGCAAAATATTGAGTCAAACATTGTTATGTAATTGCATTCAGCTCAATGCACCAGACAGCTGTTTCAGCAAACAGGAAGCTCAAACAAAACTCTTTGTCACCTCGGTATCTTCAGCTGTTCTTTTTCAACACTTACTTCAAGAAACAACACCTTTGCGAGAAATTCATTACATAAGCAGGTGGCTGTCCTTTGTAAGAGCTGGTGTGACTGATACAAAACAATGTTGAAAGAGGTTTATGTTTGATCCCAAATGTGCGTTACTGGCCATTGTTTAATAAAAAAATAATTGGCTTCATTTCTTAGACAGGCACACAAAACCAGAGAACATAGCACAAATCTATTTCCTTCACTAATTATGTACAATCTGAACTCTACAGGAAGGTGTAACCTAAAACAAAGTTCCATAGGCTGTTGGTCATACAGGCATTTATTTTGTTTATCTTTAAGTAATAGGTGGACTTAAATAAGCAACTTTCTACGGGTAGCACAACTGGCAGTGATTTTGTTACCAACAGTTATGGTGAGTCCTGGGACTAATCTTGTGAAAAATCATGAGTCCCCGTCCATAACCAATGATTCCCAGTTAAAAAAAAAAAAAGAGTCTGAAATTGAAAATGCTTGGGCTTTTATGTAACCAAAGAGTTTATCTCACAAGAAGACTCCAAAACTAGTCCAACATAGTCCATTGTTGCTATCATGTCTATAATATTACTGAACTCATGAAACAGGAGAGGCGTCCGGAAAAAGAAGATGGCAAAATGTGTGTAAAAGCATGAAAATACTTCTGTTTGAAAGAACTTTCCACCAAACTTTACCCTCCTTTAAACAGACCATTTTGTAAATGACCAGAACACATTTATTACGCAGGGGCATTTTGCCAACCTCTTCTCTCCGCCAACCCTCCTGTTGCAAAACTCACTAATATTTCTGCTGGGGAATTGGCTGCCCCTTATATTAACGAGGAGTGTATCATAGCAAAATGTCTGTAAGGCAATAGAGACTGTATATACGTGTAAAATTAATGAAAAAAATAAGTACCTCTCCTTTTTTATGAACAATTCTTGCCTGCCACCAACCACAAGGCTCACCATCAACATCTCTTGTGAAAACCTAGAACAATAGAATCAAAAGATTGATTAAAATAATAGTGAATTCATTTCACGAAACTTTTTGGGGAAGGATATTCATCTTCATCTTCAGCCATCAAGAAAAAGCTCCCATCATGTATATATGTCATATCAATAATCAAAGACCAATACATATTACAGATAAATATTTCCACTCATTTAATCACACAAGAGGAGCTTTGTGGGAAAAATTACAAAAGCATCACGATATGTAAAGCTGATAATAAGCTTAAAAGGTGTTACTTGATCCAAGTAATGCATGATTCCAGAAAATACCTGTTCCACCCCTGAAGGAAAAAAACTTTTCTAACAGCTCCCCACTACTCCACCCCTGAAGGAAGAAACCTTTTCTAAGAGCTCCCCACTACTCCAACCCTCATTCCAAATTAAGCTTCATAAATTTCTTTCAATTATTTTGGCTGTGAGACTCGCTCCTCCCCAGGCATTGCATGGTCTATTCCTTCAAAGAAAATATCTACTTTTTCCAAGACAGAAGTTCAATTTAAAGTATGACTTTCAAAATAGCTGTGGACCACCAGAAGTAATATTAACCCTTTAAGTCCCAATAGTGACCAACATCAATTTTCTCCTAACAATATCCATACAATGTCAAGAGATTAGTTTATGAGAATTAATTAAATGATCAGCAAAGAGAAAAAACTCAAACTCTCTCAACTTATTCTTTAAAGAAATGTATAGAGATCAGTTTGGAGAATTTGCTTGTGGATATCGGGGCTTAAAGGGTTAAGTGGAAAGGAGAAAATAACAGGGCAGAACAGTAACTCGACTTGCTTCCCAACCATCCACTATCCCTCTTCGCTCCAGCACCCCTTCCATCCCATCTCTTCTATCTTTTCCTTCCCTTTACAATTGAATGTTTATAATCTCCCTTTCTCCTCAAACTGCAACAAGCAGTAAACACAACCCTTGCAGGTACACGTCTATACCCTTAAATCTTCTCTTTGGAAATACAGCAAGCCTAATCCACTTTATCAGAGGGTGATCGAAAACCTGGCGGGGAGAAGCCATGACTGAAATTCAACACCATATTTTCTCGCTCTATGTGATAATCACTAATCATTATCAACAACATTATTACAAGAAATCTGGATTAGTTGAAATTTCTGTTGTTACCGCTTGCACTTAAATAAGCTAACAAATAATACGAAAATGCAACTGGGTTACTCTCAAATGCTAAAGCGGCACGTGGGTTAGTCATTGTAAACACACACTATAAATTATAGCAAGGTGAAATTCAAGTTGTTGCACAATCCGCGGGTTTAAACGAGAGAATTCCGAATAAAATAGGAAAAATATTTCCACTTTAGAGTCAGATCGAAATATTTGACTCTTCAAACCGTACCTTAAAATATGCATCATGAATAAAAACAATCGAGAATGGGATTTTCTACGTCAATGCATTTGAATTTGACCTTTTGCTTTTCGATCACATGGGACGGAGGACGTAAACAGGTCTATTATCCACTTAGCGTACCTCTACTTCATCGTCCACGTACAAATCGCATTTTTGGTTGCTCTTGGAAGGTAAACGCACTTCTTCGTAAGAAACTCTCTTCCAGTTATAGGGACTGTATGAGAACAAAATATCAAAGATCTGTTAGCGAAGATCTTGTCAAAAAAAATGGACACGACTGAATCTCGCGCGCGGACACCTAGATGTCCGTAGCTCATACGTACTCGTGCTCCAGGGAAACAGTGACTTGATCTTGGTGTATATTCCTCACGTAGCCCTGGAAAGTAAATTTTTGATAAGTTCTCAAATAATTCTTTCACTCTTTTATAAGTGTTCAACGGTTACCTTGTAATAGACGCCATTCTTGCCGCACACCTCGACCGCCAAATCCTCCATGTTTTCTTGCTCAACCTGCTAAGGGTCGAAGAGGACGGTGGGATATCAACAAAAATTGCGCAATCGACGCGCGAAAAAACAATCACAGAAAACACTTTATCAGCATTGAAAAAAAAACAGTAAAAAATATCAAACCTTCCTAAAGAAGCAATTACCATAAAGTTTACGTACAATAGTTGTTTGAAATAATCGGATCTCATATTTTCATGTTCTCGACACAGCCGCGCCGTGCCATCTATTTTTAGTAACACTTTCATCCCCTTGCTTTCTAAAACGGAAACGTAAACTATTTTCTAAAAAATCTAAACTCAAGGTCCACTGGTTCCCAAAATCACTTCGGTTAGCCAGACCAGCCTTATTCAGGTACTACAGATGTTAAAATGTTTAAGTTTTTCATCAGATTCAGGAAGCTGTCTCTGAAAGAACATTGCAAAACACAATTCGAAAATTGCGAAATATATTGCGAAACTGACATTCTGTAAATTTTTGTATTAGGCATAATTATGCAATATTAGCAATTTTTGACCAAAAGGTCGGTCTATCGCTTACATTAAATCTTAACTGTGTCCGATGAAAGATAAACCTAGTTGGAACAGAAGTTGGTGTCTGTGTATTTCTGTATATGTATTCGCTTTAAATTGTTTTTAAAATAGCTTTCAAAAATCCTCAATTAGTCCAGCGTAGAGCGTGTGCGATCATAGCTTTCTTTCCTTTCCATGGTTCCTGTCATATTTTCAGTGCCAAAAATTTCTGTAAAATCCAGATAAAGTTTGACTTTTTGTACAACAAATATTAAATCGTTATTCAATGGCCAAAAGAGTATACCAGACGATATATCAGTTACCAGACGGATTAGAACTAAAACAGTGAGCGTTTTGGTCAGGATGTCATTAAACCAAGCACACACTGACAAAATACTGCTGAAAGAGGGGACCGAAAGAACAAAAAATCTCGCTAAAATGCAATAAATCCCCAAAGTTACCGAATGAACAGCACACAAAAAAAGTCAAGGGCGACATATTATTACCCGTTCCAATAAATGATATAAGGGGTAAAATCTTTGACTTCTATTACGTAATTATAGATACCTTAAAGGAGTATATTTTTATTACAGAACTTGGGTTACCTGTGGACAAAGTAACTTCCTTTTTTTAATTAGCTCTGATGTTATATATTTTACACACTGTTGACAGCTCAGACACTTGGCGGGAAACAGCTTAAATTAGGTGTCATGTGACCTCGAAGTAACCTATGAGAGCCGCTCCAGACTGGACGGGAATCATTTGAAAGAAACTTCGAGCGCGCCCTGGACTATATACCCCTTTCCCCGTCCCGGTTTTGGCGGAACGCGTGCCACTCAGACTGAACGTTTCCATGTCACATCTCTGTAAATAGTAAACGAAGGAGATGACCAGCTTGCCATTTTTGAAGCAATGCCTCGTTAAAGTGATGTTCAGCGAGACGATTCGTAAAGGCGATTTTAAGCGCATTAATTACAGCATTTACAACTTTGTTGCGGCATTGTTTTGAATGGTTGCAACATTGTCCCAACCAGTTGCCGTTGCCCTAAAAAGACTAGAATCGTCTTTGCAAATCGTTTCGATCGTGTAACAGCTACATGAGAAATCCGAACAATTTTTTTTTAATTTTTCGTATCAACGATCGACCTCAAACGTTCACCCGCAAACACCTGCTTTACTTTTAAGCCCTCGTCACAAATTATGTGTGATACAACCAGTTCCTTTTAGCATTTAATTCTTCACTCCCTTGAGATTATATATATGTTCATATTTTAAAATTCGGTACCCTACTCTACACTTAAAGAATTCATCGACATCAATTCGTGTGAAATTTCCGTGATCTACACTCAATCTCTCAATCTACACACTCGATCAGCTCCACGACTCGGAACGGCTACACAGACTCCTGTACAAAGTTCAGTTCTCAGATCACGTGAGTTTTCCCGCCACTATGACTCAATAATTTTCTAACAAGCCCTACAATATAAACACTCGAGGGGTTGGGAGAATTCTCAGGAGCACCCAACAGCAATTTTCGGAAAATATCTGTTCGGAAGACGATTTGAGATCTAGAATTTTCGGATCATTTGTCGTAAAATCTCTTGCTTGCCTGCCTCTCCTAGGATTTTCGAACATTTACAAAATGGTATAATTACCCATTTTTAACAGATTTTTACCCTAAAAAAGGCCACCTAGAATTTTCGGGAGCCTTTTCCTGGCTGAAATTTTCGAAAAGGTAAGTTTTGATCCCGGTAATTTTCGGATCACTAGACTTTCAGCTAGGAAATCCGAATAGATGAAAAGTTTTTAGGGGATAAAAATATGCCTATATCTACCGTCTAAATACTAAAATACGTTCAACAACGCTATGTTAAAGTGCTACTGTTTTGAACTATATCCTCGCTGGGTGCCCCTGAATTCTCGATAGCTATGCAAACCCTCGACTTTTTTTGACTTTTTTGTCTCGGATTTCCATAACTGTCTCATTTTCCCGACCCCTCTAGTGTTTATATCAGGCCATGCAAACACGGACAGCGTTTTCTATTGCTTAACTAGTAATTGCTTAACCTTTTGTTTTCCTTTATCCTAGTCAATTTTAACATAATAATGAAGGCCGTAAAAATTTCACTAAGACACAGAAAAAGCCGACTCATTATCTGCGGCGGAAGACGCTAATTTAGTTGAGTATAAATTGAGAATTAGCGGGCCATTAAATACAAGATAAATGTTTTGACAAGAATTTTAAGCAAAGGCGACATTAATGGCAATTAATGAGCGTCCCCTATACCCTGACAAGTTAAAGTTCCGCTTATCTTTTAACTACTTATATATAGGCATTAAAACTCATGTATTTTCTAAAAGGAGTATAATGCACCCGGCTATACTTCGTATATTGTTGTTTTTTCTAAGTGGCCGGGTGTAAAAACGGAGAAAGAAAAGTGGTAGGAGGAAGTATTCAAGTGACAATTTTCAGTTAGGCACTAAAATCTAAATGCTTCCATAAGCCCATGTTTGCTTAGAACAGTCTTTTACGCTTTGTGTCAGAACCGTTATCAAAAAGGTCTCATTAAAAGAGAAATAGCTTATCGTTTATTTTCTAAAGGTTAAGCAGCCCATAAGCACTCAGTGAAAGGAAGCAACTTGGCCATATTGATTTCTTTCCTTAAAGACAAGCACACCAAACAAAAAAGTCTAATTTTTCTTGGGTTGGTTCAGGTGTTCATGAAAAATTCAGGGTCTAATTGTTGGTGATAAAGCTTTTGTTAAAGAAATATAAATAAAAGAAATACAGCGGTGTAGCTTAAATGGCAATGACCTTTTAGTTGAGAAAAATGGAACAAATTTATAACTGAAACTTCATACCGCGGTTTTGACTCTATAAAGTAAAAACCTCAGGACTCGTAGATGATAGTGGTTATTTTGCATTCTTAATTTGCGTATTAGATAAAAACGCAGACCATTACTTAACGCTTTTGATGAGGAGTTTTAATGACATGGATATCTAAGCAAAATTGTGTGTTTTTCAAACAAAACAAACCATTTTACGGGTAAGATAAGAGACAGCAACAGGCGTGAATTCATACCGGTTTCCACCTTTTTTTTACGGAAATCGGTTAGATTTTTCATAATAATTATATTTTTAATAATAAAAACACTTTCTAAGTTGAATTTTGGCCAATATGCTGTCTGAATGACTCGGAAACCCAGGAAAGGGGACTCTAAGGAGTTAAAATCCAAAACATTTCCTTGGGGAACCTGCCCCCGAAACACCCTAGAAAGTTACGCCTCCGGCGCTCATTTTGGAAGTCGGTCAATATTTATCCCAGACGCCGCGCCTGAACAAGCTATAGCTGATCGCCTACGATGAGGAAAATTGATGAGCAATTTTCTTTCACAGCTACATCATTTCTCTTTATAACACCTTCAATAATGTTTCCCTAATTATTATTATTATTATTATTATTATTATTATTATTATTATTATTATTATTATTATTATTATTATTAATAAAATTAACTCGGGGGGAGGGTTTGTGTTTCTCCTCTTATATAATATAGCCCTTCAGAACATGACATTCGAGGCTAAGGGGTCCTACTTCTTTCGCAAATTGTTTCATGCTAAGACTGGCTGATGAACAGCACTATGTATTCGAGGAACATTTTTAAAAAACAAAAGACTGTAAGCAATTCAAACGTTCAAGGTGTCTCTTTACTTTTGAGTATGAAGATGAGAATGATTCCGAAATGCAATCAGGCTCTATGGTGCTACCATTCAAATGAAAGCTACTGAGCAGTGCTTTCCTGTGGTGCTGTACTTTATTATGTTGCACAAGGTGTTTCTTATGTTTGAGTCTGTGGATGAAACCCTAAAGTGTTACCATTCAAATGAAAGCTACTGATCAGTTCTTTCCTGTGGTACTGTTTGTTATGCTGTACAAGATACCTGTTTTAAATTAGTCTGTAGATATCTAAGTCAGTCCTTAGTAGCGACTGCGATGACTTGAAAAAAAAAGAAAACTGTTGATTTTTACCGTTTGTTGGATTTTTAATTTTGTATAAATTGCTTTTTGCGACTTTCTGTTCTAGGTGTCGATTTTTTGGAGTGAAATATTTTGTAAAAAGCAAGTGTTGAAAGTACAACTAATTCGCTGACATTGGTGAGGATTTTCATAGATATGAGATCCTCAACCGACTTTATTAATCGACCATAGATCAATTAACAGTCAGCAGCAAACGATATACACCTGGCAGTCAAACTGTCCCTATTTGAAACTACTTGCGAATAATTGTTAACTTTTTCTTTTGTTAATAGCTTGATATCTACAGACGCCTCGTTAAGAAAAAGTTCACAACCAATGAAATATGCCCCGATTGTCGGGGCGATAATTTCAGGCGTGAAGAGTTGGCGATTTGTTGGTTGAAGGTCAATATGTTTTTTTGCAAATACGCGCCTCTTTTTTGTATTTGCCTAAGTTGGTGTCACTTCTCTTTCCATAGCAAAAAACTCAGATAAATTTTGAAAAAAGTGTTTTGAGTATGATTTATCTGATCCTTTTCTTCACTCTTTCTCATGGCAATAAGACACACCACAATCCAATATCTTTATAGTTTTAGACTTCTTATCTTTTCAGCTGTGGGCGTAACAGCTGAAGTTAACTGCCTTGTTTTATACATTGTCAATACATTAAAACACAAAACTAACAAACTCAAAATGATTTTCAGTTCCGGTTTTAAACAATGAAACGTTCCGACAATATTAACAGCGTGGCACTCCTCGCTAATTTATTATCTTTTTCCAAAAGAGGAGCATGCATATTTAAAAGACGTTGAACTAGCTTAAGAAGTCATTCAGGAGGAGACTTGAACTGCATAGCGATGTTCAACTTACTGAAGTTCACACTTTGCAGCGCAATATTTTTCTTGTCTGTTTCTTGTACACCAAGAAAAGCCGCCATCAAGGTAAGAAATATATTTGAGTTTTTCCTTGAACATAGCCTCGTGGTCTCTGTAAAATAACGATAACTAATATTTTACAGAATTACACGTTGTGTGTTTGAGCTCAACTTTATCGCGATGGAAGCATGATCCCAATTTTCAAATATTTTTCTCCCTGGTCAATTTTCTGAAGAGATAACAAGGAAAGTCGCCTTTTTATGATAACTTAAGAAAGGTTCAAAGAAGGAGAAAGAACAAATAATTTTCTCCCTTTTTTCTATCTTGATTAATATTCTGTTTGTTGACGTTTTATGAGCAGCACGCGATAATCTGACATTAGAATGAGCCGTAATTTAGAATTCTTTCTGTAGTTCTTTGCAGCCATGGTAATGAACCCTCCCATTTATAAAACGGCGTGATCCGGGATCTATAGGCTCCATTTCCAGAATATAAAATAACATGATCGTCATATTTTAAAACTAGGAGAAAGTTTAAAGTTTTAAAGTTCGGTTTATGATAATCTCCTATTCGATGCTAAAATCTCAGAAGCCATTTTTGGCGGGAGTGTTTTAAAATGCGTTGTGACAGAGGACACTCTTTCTTTTTCTTGAATAAACTTTGTTGTCAAGAAATGTTGTACTCATATATCTGTTGCTGTGGCTGGTAGCGTGGTGTTAGTTTTCTTGAATTAGCTCCACGATCAACTACAAAGCACCAACGTACTCTTAATTGCAACAAAGAATTCCCTGCAAACTCGATCCGTAGTCAATCCCGTCGAGGTTCTTTTTCGGTCAGTCGAATATACTTCCTGTTTTCTCGGTAAGAGATAAACGTCGTCATGGCAACTAAAAAATAACTTTCTGACCGGCGAGTCACATCTCAATTTAAGCGAACTTCCGGGTTTTAAGGTTTGACTTTTTTGATAAAAATCACCCGTTTGCATGGATTCTTTAGTAACTGAACAACAAACAGCGAGCCTTGTGGACACTGAGCAGTGTAACAACTTTTCCGAATTCCCATCGTAAACTTCCATTATGACTTCTATTAAATTGTCTTTTAATTTAAATTAATTTTGTTTGATATTGTTGTTTCTCTTTTTCTGAGAGAAGGAGTTGAAAAAACAATTGTTATTTATTGTCATCACCATCATAACCACTATTTTTTGTTATTATTATCACATGAAGTACGAAGAGTCACCGAGACAGATGCTCCTTCGACTCGAGCCTGGTTACAAACGTTTCCTTGATTCCAAGAGAGGTAAGGACAGCTGAGCCTGTCAATTTGATGACATTTGTAGAACACCTTTCAGTGTTAATGTAAATAACTGTTTTCGCGCCACGTGATTCAGAGGTTGGCCTCCCCATCTTAGTTAATGTGCAAGCAATCTACTCTGTAGCGAAGAGAGCCTTGATAAGAAATCTACGCTTCTACCTGATTAACGTGACCTATTCTACGAATTAGACTCGACTATGAAGAAACTGGGACTTGTGTCTTACTAAGGCAACTCACATTGAACGAGAGGGCAGTGGGGAGGGGAGAGTGGAATTTACCGCATTGGGCACTGAACGGGACGTGTAGAGTAATAAACAAACGCTATTGTCATTTGCTCTCAGTCAGCCTGTATACCCCCCAACCCGTCACGCGCTCCCGAGATAAAATCGACCGTTGTAAATCATTTTTGCCCCGGCGTTATGCTTAATAACATCAACTAATGCGTATTTTCTTTCAGAAAATAACCAGCCTTCCGAAATAAAGTGTGGGTTGTTCTCAGAAGTCGTCCAAGTTGAACCCGGTGTCACCAAGCTAAGGAATTCCCCTCAGTTTGTGCAAGTTAATCGTTGTAAGGGCTCATGTGTCCATGCTCTTATCTTAGAAACATGTGAACCAACAAAAATACGCAACATACCTGTCAGAGTATCCACTGAAAGTGGCAATAGTTATGAAGTAGCCGTGGCAGATCACGAGGAGTGCAAGTGTACTTGCCAAGCCCAGTGCAATCCCCAAATTCATGTCCTTAATGAGAAACTATGTAAATGCGATTGCAGTAAGAAATGTCCAAATGGGGAAATGCAAGATCCATCTACTTGTAAATGCAAGGAGTAAACAAGAAAAGAATTATCTCGGCTGACCGAGTATTAGCCATTTAAATGAACGCTTTATAGATGATTTAATGCGTAAAACTTAAGGCTTTAGCGAAAAGCGTTGAATTTCTCTTTCAGTAATAATTTCAATAATAATATAATTTATGCAGTGGAAGCTCTCGTAAGTGGACACCCTCGGGACGCCAGGGACGCGCGGGGGATGCGAGAAAGGTGCCCATAATTCGAGCTGGCCCCTTAAGGAAATATAAAAATACAAAATTTATATGGGAGTTGATTAAAACCCCGGGGTACCCCCATATAAAAGTTACGGGGATGCTCGTCGGAAAATTCAAATTAAACCCTCAAGGGAGACCAATGTGGGTATGGCTCAAGCTTAAACTGACCCCTAAAGGAGATTTCTGGTTGGTCAGTGTCGGGGCATTTCTTGTAAATTTCTTTATGCACAGTACTAAGTGATACCAGAATGGTAATGGTATAGTGACTTTCCATCCCAAATACCCTAAGTGAGACCAAAATTTACACGCCCCCCCCCCCCGGGGAGTAAAACTTGGTTTTGTGAATGCGGCTAAAAAAAAAGCTGTCCGTTAGAAGAGCTTCCACTTTATTATCGTCAGATTAGCCATACACTGATTGACAAGCATATACAAAAGGCACCCATTAAATATATTAAACAGATGAAAGATATTCACCTGATATCCAAACACCGAGTCACAGGAATCACAGGAAGAAACAGGAAGAAATGTTTCATCTGATATCCAAACGCTGCGAAGTAATACATTAAACGTAAGAAGGAAATTTTTGAGATGACTGGATGCTGGATATAAGAAGAAACACTCCTTGCACGCGTGTTGATATAGCTTTTCAAATAGTCACTACGCAAAAATCTATTTTGGTCCCAATCCACCTTAGCCTCCCACGCGGGCGTTTTTAGGAAAGCTCGTGACGAAATACGAGCTCCACTAAAAAAGCCTGCGTGGGTTGGGTGGTTTCCTACTTCTCTCATCTTTCTCTTGATTTTTATACATTGATGTCATTTGAAATACGAGGAAAGTATGAAGTCAGATGATGTGAGCTGTTACTAGGACTAAGGGTTAATAAAAACAAGCTCTCATTTGAGTTTCAGTCTGATAGTTTGTGTTTTTAAAATAAAGAACTTAGCAATGAACAACATTAAAAAAACTGAAGAGTATCAGTTATTCAAGATGGTTTGTAGTACTAATTCCTACAAGCTATCAACAGGAAGTCTCGTTATAGTCCTTTTCCGGGGGGTACTCCCTTATATAAGACATATAGGCATGTACCCCTTCAAAGCGTGGGGTTTTTGCACCGTTTTGGTCTGAAAACGGGCATAGATTTTGCCCATTTTGGTCCGGAATCGGGTATGGTTTTCGAGGGAACAACGGGAGTGTATGAACGTACTTCGTTACAGCTCCAAATATGCGATGATTCGAAATGTATTATGAGCCAAATCTTTTTTTGTTGCCGTTCTAATCTAAGTAATGATGAAATAATTCCTTAGAGGCCAGGTCCGAAAACGGGTGTGAAAATTGGAGAACCGGGCGGCACAATCCCACCAAGAATTCCCAGGAGTTCCCCACCCCATCCCCACCCCCCTAGTCCTTTTTCACTCACGTGGCCAGCAGCTCTGCAAACTTATTGGAACAATAGAAAAAGGTTCATTGTCGGTCTTCAACTCCCACAGGTTTGCTTACGGACACGAACATGACCGCCGTTTAATTGTTTTCGGACACCAATATGGCGGATGTGACGTCATGTGAAACGCTCTGTATGGCAGAACCACTCTTTGGTTAAAAAGGAGGCTCTTCGTGAGTCACGTCAAGTCTTTGAACTTGCCGAAGCCCAAATTCCTGGACTAGTCAATCTTGTTTTCTATCTTCAAACTGGTTTTACGAGTGCACGCATCCTTTTATTGATAAACCAATGGTCATAACTGAGCCCGCTGTACAACTGTATCCAAGCAACATACTATGCAGCTTCGATTCATGCAGAGTCTTCCTTAAGTACCACAAAATCGAGTAAGCGAAAGAAAAGCTCTGCTAGTCGGGTGAAAAAGAATGCAAATTGAAAAGAAAACTACAAAAAGGGGGAACAGACGTTAAAATTAACTTTTATTACATTTTTAGCAAGTCTTGGTATTTAAAATACAGTTAGAAGTTCATGATTCAAAACAAGCCCCGGATGGATGCACCACTCTCCTCGCACTTGCATAAAGATTCACTCCACGTTTCTGACCAACGACAATTAGGGCGCAGCCGACATTCGCACTTGCAGAGTCCTTTAATCCACTTCTTATTTGCCTCCTCACAATGGCTTCCATCTTCGATGCATTCGCAGCTACAGCTATCCTGGTTGAGCCTTTGCGTCGCACTATTACACTCTTGGTTGCAGCTACAGTTGCAGGCTGTATGATTACTCAGAGAAATTTCGGTTTGATTTAAGTCATTGTTGATATCCTTGACACTGATAGTAACCTCTTCTTGTTTTCCCATTGTACACTGAAGGGCTAAAAAATGGAAACAAGTGCGTGTCATTTTGTGAAAGATCAAAGAGCAGAGCGCAATTCGTGTTCGTTACATTTATATGTGCGTTGGTTTATAGTAATTTTATCGCTAATCATCGCGTCTTGTGCTTAAGCTACGCGTGAACCAAAAATGGACTGGAAACGCAATTGATACATGATCTCATCTCTGCCGCTTGCAGTAAACGGTGCTTTTAATAGAGAGGTTTAGCATCACTTTTACAGCAACTGGTTAACGTCAGATTCAAGTTAGCAATTTCTCAAATTTGTGAATGAGCAGACAAAAAATGTCTGAAATACCGTATTTATTCGAATAAGCGCCCAACCTCGAATTAGCGCCCACTCCACTTCCCTCCCACCTCCATTCAAACTCAAATAAGCGACCACCCCCACTCCACCCCCAAAAATTGAACAAGTACTAATAAGAGACTTCCCCGAAGACGGAGTTTTCTTCAAAGTATTTTACATGAACCTTGACTTGTTACATCTTCGAGTTTTGTTATTACCATTTATTGTTTTGTTGCAAAATAAACATAATACACTTGCTGAAAATGCTGAAAATTTAACAAGCGCCCAGCCTCGAATAAGCGCCCACCTCGAGTAAGTGCCCACTCTCGAAGTCCAAAAATTTAATAAGCGCCCAGGGCGGTTAATCGAATAAATACGGTAATTCTTGTGTGATGAACCTGGCGCGAAATTTGTAACTTTTGTGTAGCCTGAATTTCAGACATTACCTTGAGGCGCTTACCCCCTCGGTAACCTCTAAATCGACAGGCCGTTGATGCCGTCCAGTGGGGGAGTAAGCGACACGAAATAATGTCTGAAATCCAGGCTAACTTTTTTGTGGATATAATCAACATTAAACGCCATGTAAAGGGAAAATTTGGTCACGTGGTGCAAATTAAAGTAGACTACGTAAACGTAATACTTAATCTCTCTATACCTAATATCTCTCCAATAAAAAGAATAACTTACCTGAAGAGCATCCACCTGCACAACGGTGTAACTCCACAAAGGTCGGCCAGTAAAGCCTTTCCTGGTCTACTTCCACAATAGTTGGATAGGGGCGACAATACTGCATAGGCAGTTTAAGAGCTCCTGTACCAACAGCCAGACGTGAAAAGGTTAAAAGTGCTCATTTTTATATGAATTCTAGCTTTTGGAGTCCTACTCGACTTAGATCTGTCCTAATAAATTGTAACAATTCAAATGAAAGGCTACAAAACAGTGTTTTTCGTTGCTGTTTAATTTTTTCAAATAAGTCAGTCCGGCAGTCGTTCTTAATAGGGAGCAACTCACGTCAACCAGCCGAATGAAAGCTTTCTCTTAATAATAATCCTTGACTCTATAAAATTTTATTGCTAAGTGTCTTTGCTCTCTTTTAAAGGCGATTAGCCCGAAAATTTTGGGCGAAAATAGAGACTTTAAGCTTCACGTATACGGCAAACGGCAAAAGTCAGATTCAAGTTTCGAATTATTCAAAATAGAAAATGAGCAGATAAAAACAGCTCAGAAAATTCTTATGGATAAAAAATTGGGTGAAACTACTAATTTACGTGTAGAAATAATGAACAGTAGGCGACAAGCAAAAGGGAAACTTGGTCACGTGGTACAAATTGACGTAAACATGACGCTTAAACTCTCTATTACTGCCAAAGAATGCAAAAGGTCCACTTTCGGTTGACGCGCGCGTCGCTTAAAAAACGTCTTTGCTTAAGCTCGGCACCAATATCAAAAGTTCAGGGGATCTTTTCAGTTTGATGATGATTGGTTTGCGATAATTGGTAGTTGTCCGCAGAAACATGGTGTGGTTTCATTTTTGCGAAACCACTTAATACAAACATGTTGCATGCTGAAGAAATTATTTAATTAATGGGAAGCCTTTCGTTATTATTAAATGGAGAAGCGAGAGTTTTAAATTACACCATAATTTTCTTTTATTTCGGCTGCTTAATGGTTTGCTGTATTAAACCAATCACAAACAAGGCGAAAAATTGTTCAGAAAGAAAATATCCTCTTTCTTGATTTTCCTTTCAAAACTAAACCGTGACCGTAGGATTTAATAGCGCATGACAAAGATATTTCAAAGAAGATGTCAATTGAAAAAAGCCTGATTAGGCATTCCTTTTTAAAAATCAATACGTGTCTTATTTCCGAATGCGATGCGACTAAATCAAAAGTTTCCTGATGAGGAATTTTAAGTTCACGAAGAGTTGTGTCTGTACAAACTGCTTTGAAACCTAGAATTGAATCATTTGATCACGTTGTTGTTTTGCAGAGCGCAGTAGAAGAGTGGGTAATTGGGGAGAGTTCCTACGCACGTTTCAGGGACATTAAAAAGCAGCAAACGCAGCACGGTGATTAAAATTCCGGGTAAAAGGACAGTATTTCATGGATTTTAATTTTGTATATCGCCTTTCACGAAATTTAAAAACACTTCATCCCGTATCGATCACGCAAAAGCCTCTTTCACCTCCTCATAGAAAAATGCACCAAATATATACCATGCGCGCAGGTGTGAAAGACTGAATTGTTTTACTTAACAATTATTGGCTTTTAGTACCGCCTTTTGCAATACCGGCTGTCGATAATGTCGTGGTTGCTTAAACTCCGTAAAATTTCACGCCTCTTTTGTTTCACGTGGAGCGGAAAAACTTACTTAAACTTACTTTTTCTCTCTTCTCCAGGTTCATCGCCATCCGTTAATCTCTTGTTCATCTCCATCGTTTTAGCGTGTTTGACCTTCTTTCCTATGTATGACTTTAAATCAGGTGTAGCCATGTCGACATTTGACAAAGTTCTCTTCATTGGAAAAGGAAAAGTCTTGATAAGATTTTCCTATAGACGCACTCAGTAATACAGTAAAACCTGTCTACAACCGCCCTTGATTAGAGAAAAGTCTTCATCGCCGAAAGGTGACCTTTCGGTAGGAAAGTAGGGATGTAATATGACATCTCATTTTTTCAGGAAAGGGTAGAGCATTTTCGGTTTTAAAACAATGATTACACAAGTTTGTAAATTGATTGCTTCTGAATATGGCCGTTACAAAGTGAGAGGTTCAGTTTTCAAATGGCACCAACTTCAAGAGCTTTTTTTTCTTCTCGAAGAATTTGAGACTAAGAAAAGCCACAGTTTTGTCTTAAAATAAGTCGTTTGCGGGTGACGGATCTATCAATTTCAATTAAAAAGTGAGACTTTCAAATAGAAAAGTGTTTGTTATGAATAGCTTAAACTGGCAACCCAGAACTCATGCATACCAAGTGCTAGGGTAAAAAGTTAAGATTCATTTTGTTGCATGTGGACAAGAAAGGAAATTCCGCTCTGTAAAAACTCTACGAAAGTTAAGTTAACTTGGTGATCACTAGTGCCTAGTAGCATTTTTCAGTCTTACCTCTAGGTTCTGTTTTGTTTCTGACGGGCTCACAAGATTTGACATTAGAAAGATAAACATCAACAGATATATAAAATACACGATTCGCGCCATGTTACCTCGAAAGTCACTTAGCTTGCTATGCCAACTAACATAAGACAACACGTTTAAATAAAGATAAGCGACAACAATTATTATTAAAACATATGCCTGTAATCGTCTGGGAGTAAATTTTGGAATTCTGAATTAAGCATTTAGATGTTAATGAACGGCGCCACGTGGAAGAAATCATCCTTACCTACATTATGAGCTAGAAAGGTAATTAGCCTTAATTACCCTGAACCATTCATTCTTATCTCCCAAGGATTTCACGGGAAAAAAAGTTTCCTATGTTTTTTAATTCACTAAGACACCTTGCAGTCTATTCGTATGAGTGGTCTGGAGAAAAACTTTACTTGTATCCCAATTTTTGGACAGCTACATACAGTGGAATCTCGATATAACGAGCTTCAGGGACACCCAACGACAATTTTTGAAAAATATACGGAAGACGATTTGAGATCTAGAATTTTCGAAACATTTGTTGCAAATTTCTTGCTTGCCTGCCTCTCCTAGGGTTTTTCTAAAACATGGTATAATGGCCATTATTAACAGATTTTTACCCTAAAAAGGTCACCTAGAATTTTCGGGAGCCTTTCTTCTGGCTGAAATTTTCGAAAACGTAATTTTTGATCCCTATAATTTTCCGATCACTAGACTTTCAGCTAGGAAATCCGAACAGATGAAAAAATTTTAGGGGATAAAAATATGCCTAAATCTACTGTTTAAATATTAAAATACGTTCAACAATGTTATGTTTAAGTGGTTTTGAACTATATTCTCGTTGGGTGCCCCTGGAGCTTCTATGCAACGAAGTCCATCGGCCCAAAAACGAAGTATGTTCTTTACCTGACTTTATACCACAGAAGTAAAATATACAGTGAAAAATAACTTCACGTCGACATAACGAAACCTAGCGGTATAGAGAACAAGTTTTGCCGGTCGCTTGGCCCTTCGTTTTATCGAGGTTCCACACTGTACAATGAAGACGGGATATTTTGATATTTTCTCATGTATTAGTAATGTTGTCAGTGTCTTGCAGATCGACAGGCAGTTTTTTGCTGATGCCCAGCATTGGCGAAGATGGATCTTATTATTAAATTATTGAAGAGAAGCATAGAGAGTAAGACAAAACTTCTTGGCTTCTAAAAAAACTGACTAATTATTGCTTTTATACGAATGGCACCAATCATGAAGTTTTTTAATACCGTAATACCGTACCAGTGCTGAATGAAAGAATGATTCTATTCAGTGCTGTACAAGCCGTTTCTAACTTTAAGCTTACGGAGAACTGAGTTGAAAAAAGGAGCCGCAGTGTGTATTTTTAGCCAAAAATCAAGGTGTTTGTAATCAGAACCATTTGACTTTTTCAGTAGTTTGACTGATACGAAAGATAAATAATCATTAAAGCCCTGAACTGAAAATCAAAGAACACAAGAACCTTGTAGCCTTAGCGTGACAAAAGTGATCTTTAATAGGAGAAGACAGGCAGTATAGGAGTATCTCTCCTTGGGCAGTCCAAACACTTCTTGTGGTATCTAGAAATAAATATTGGATACTAGATCTGCGAAAGGAAGTCAAACTATCGGGAAAACTTGCATACGTGCTCACTTAAACAAACCCTGTGTCAAGAAATTTTATGTGAAACTTTTATCATTTTTAAATATCATATTGCACTAAATATCCTTTTATCTGTTTTATCCGGCCCTCTTAAATGACACTCAAGCGAACATTAAAAAAAGATCATAGGAAGTATTTGTTTTGTTTGCTGCTAGTTTTTCAATTTTCAGTCCAACATTCAAATCCTTTTTCATTAGATTAAGCACGTTTTAAGTGTAAATTATCCTTTTTGGATTGTGATTGTGAGGGATTTTAATCATTTCACACCTCACGGTCATATCGACTTACAAGATGTTTTTCTAACCCATGGTTTGCAATCATTTAAAAGAAATTTCGCTTTGGACGATGAACATTTCAGTATAAAGGTTAAAAAACGCAATTTTGGTCATTTCCAGAAAATGGTAAAAAAAATTGTGTTCAAATTAAGATCATACTTCTTTTCCTTTTGCAGTTTTTTTTCTGTATGTGAATTATAACAAATTAGAAAAAGATTTACTTAAACCTCTAAAACTTTTAGATATCAGGGTCAATCAATCCCAGCATTTGATTGCTGTTTAAATTGTGTAAATAGAAGCATATTTTTAAAATATACATTTAGTGCTTGTAACTCGCTAACCATCATGAGACTTTCGTGAAATGTACGGTTTTAAAATAAGTTTGTGGTAAAAATTGGATGATTAAAACTCAATGTTTTATTGTTAGCAGTATGCTTAAGATTTGTTTTACACAATATGCAGGCTTTGTGGCTCTTAGTTTATTTTTCAATTTAGGTAAACAATCATCATTTACTGTAACTGCTTTCTAAATTGTGTTTTGCATTTGTTCCCCAAATCCTTTGTACAGCCGCCATATTTACAAACTAAAGCATAAAAGTGCTTGCATCAAATAAAACAAACAACTTGAGGATAAATGTATTTCCTTAATTGAGGTTTGACGTATTACAAGTATTAACTAACAATGGCAAGGAATATGCTTACAAACATTTCAGGTAGACTTATTCATTTATGATTTCACGACATATTTATTTTCTACACTAGAAATAAACTAATTTGCAACGGTCTTTTTTTTTTCGTCTAATATTCATTAGTTTTGTTAACTTACTTTTAAAACGGTAGTTTGAGTGAATCCTTTCAATAGAGCTTTGGATTATGACGTCAATGAGCTACTGACCAATGACATAAGGATTGTGTTTGACGTCAGAAAATAGTCAACCAATCGCATCACCTACTTTTCTTCTCGGGTTTTAAATACTGAAGAATCCAGTTCCAAGGCTACATTTTCTTATCCTTCTCCACCGAGTTCCTTTCGTTGAGCCTTGAGCATATTCAACAGAAACTGTGCCCTAAATAAAAGATGTTGGCCACACTTCTTCTTATTGCGGTCTTTGGGACATACACACGTTCAACAAATATAGAAGTAAGCATTTCTTCTTATTTATTTTAATTTTATTAATAAACCTCGACTGCTGGGATGTTCCAGTTTTTGACCTTACGTCCGGTCCCACGGTTTTCAAATTTTATTCATGTAGTTGAATTTGAATTCGAAATTCTAATTAATTTCCTTTATTTAAAGACACCTTAGTAAAGAACTAGTTATTATATAATTGTACAATCATTAGTATTTATCGATAAATGCCACGCTCTTCAAAGAACAACTTCAATTTCAGTTCCTTGATTTAGAGGCCGGTTACTCCAATATTTTTGGACATGCCACGTGAACAGCTTCGGCCTGAAATTCATTTCGAATCGTTGATGTTGCTCACCGAAAAGATCGAGGCGTTAAAACAAAAAAAGAAATTTTGCAAGAAAAGAACAAACAAACAGAACCAAATAGGTTGGTATGTAACTTCAGGGACATTTATCGGCTATGAACAAAATATTTTCTATGCGGAAACGATACCGTGAATACACGTAAATACAAATAATTTTAAATAATTATTAAAAGCTTAGGAGTAAACACTCTATTTTTTTCTCTTCCTTTTTCTTTCTTTTACATAAAGTCCTCAACATCAGCTGGAATTTGAGTAAACAACTTTATTTGAGGGGCGTAGTAAAAAGTCGACACATTTTTAAAAGCAAATTTCAGGTTTTCACAGATCTACTTACACTGCCAACTTTATCATTGAAATATGAATATTCTGTAAGAAATTATGACTAACGGTATTCTCACGCCGGGAAAATATCTAAAACGATGGTATGCTGCACATAATACTCAGTTTTAACAGTAGGGATTTAACACAGTTTTCAAAGCCTACTTTTTTGGCCAAGATGCGACATATATGATAGTCCCGTCCAAGTCACTGACCAAATGATTAGGTAAATAATAGGTTTTAATTTGCCTAAAAACTGCAAAATGATCTTATCATTTTCAGCCGAGCTTTTCTTTTTCATAAATTGTAGGAATCGATAGGAAGTCCTTTACTGATTTTCCTGAGGCAGCTAAGGGCCATTTTCTGTTGACTCGGAAGTTTTGGTATCAGATATACCCGCGAAAGGTCTACTCTTTCTTAGTTTTATTCATCATTCAGGGTTCGGTTTGGTTTGACAACTGGCAAATGAATAAATTAGGTCGCTCAATTTTGGCTATAAATGATAACTTAAATGTTATTCTGTCCTCGTAAAAATTTGGTTTAAATGAAAGATTTTCAAAGGGTTAGATAATTATATGTTTTGTCAGTTATGACTAACAGACTTACAATATCTATTTCCAGGGGCACCCAACGGATCTGTTCCTCACAATATCTGTTCTACAGCGAAAATTTTGCTGGCTGGGAACTGAGGTTTCGGCTGTTCTCCTGGGAAGTAAAGTCTATTGAATCTACGGTCAAGAATTTATCAAATGTATCAAAAATTCTTGCTGGAGGTATTTTATCCCTCTAATTTGCTAGAAATTTTCTTTGTGCGCGAATTGTGCGCGCGGCTGGCGCGCGGAGTCGCGCGCTGATGATTTATTTACCGCTGACCAAAAAATCTGCACGTGGGCACCGTTGTTAGAAATTAGAAATCAGGCTACGCTCCGCCACTGGATAACTGGCATCACGCGAAATATTTGGCGGTCTTTCCAGGCGGTACGCTTCAGTGGCGGTTAGGACGATTCATGAGATTCATGTTTATGCAAAAGGTAAGGTTTCTTTGAATATGCTGAATATATTGTCTACTATTATGCATGCATGTTATTTTTAATTCCCTTGTCTTACTTATCTGCATGTCACTATAAAATGCCATTAAAATAGCTTCTCGGTTTTGTGGCGCGCAGCCGTTAGCTTTTCAAAACGATTCGTCTCTTCTTAGTCTTAGTCTTATTGTTAGTCAAGGGTTGGCTTAGTTTCAGTGTGTATTGGTAGTTTTCGGATGAAACCATTTCGAAAAGCGCGAACGAGATACTGGAGATAAAAAGGATGAGTAATGAATTCAAATTCTTTAAGAGTGTGTCCATGAGA